AATTTTTCGCTTCGCATTCCTACAACGACCACCCAGAAGCTACCGGCAGATTTTGAGAAGGTCCTCGTCAATTATTTCCTCAATCTTGGACAAAAATTGGCTGAAAACAACTACAAATATGTGTTTGCGGCCGACGAGACTGCTGTCTGGCTCGATCACTCATCGAACAAGTGCATTGATTCGATCGGAGCGAAAGAAGTTGAAGTGCTCACAAGAGGTTACGTTACGGTGATGCTTACTGCCAGAGCTGATGGCTTTAAGATAAAACCGTTTGTTGTGTTACCACGAAAAAGAATGGATAAGAAAGTTGAAGAAAAGTTTCGCAAACGATTAATCCTTTATTGGAGTGGTAAAGAGCAAAAATGCTTCGATAACTCAATCACAACTGATTATTTGGAAAGGACCTTTCGGGGGATTGGGTTCTTTGACAAAAAGGAACGCTCTTTACTAGTATGGGATCAACACACGGCCCATCGAAGCGAATCAACGATGAAATCTTTGACAAAACTAAAGCTAGACTGCTTTTTTGTACCTGGAGGCACGACTAAATTTGTTCAATGTGCAGATGTTTCCTGGAATGCTCCCTTTAAAAAATATATTCGACATCAATATGAAGATTGGATCCTATCAACGGCACCCGAATTGACGAAATCGAAAGCTGATGGATCTGGTGGTGGTAACCCCAAACCTCCTGCAATGGATGTTTATCTGGAATGGATTGCTTCGTCTTGGGAAAAACTATCTTCAGAAATGATTGCCGAGTCATTTAAAATCTGCGGAGTAGGAATTGATCAGGATGGAAAAGAAGATCATCTTATTCACTGCTTCCGCTCAGATGGCCCGATACCTTCCGGATTTAAAGCAATTCAGAGTGCCCGATTGGATAAGGAAATCGATAAAATTTTAGTCCCAAGCATCGAATCAGCAAATTTTCGTGATCCTAGACAAGAGGCTGAATACGATTCTGATACATCAATTGCTTGAAATGCTGTTTTTCTTACATTCTTAGTTTCTGTTAATTTTTGTTGTTGAAATAAATAAATAATTCGATAAAAGTGACTTATGATCTCGAATGCTTTATTTGCACTACTATTTTTTTTTTATCGTTGAATCAACGTCAATTATGTGTCTAAGTACGCCTGCAGAGGGCTATCGAAAAATAAAAGCCCCCCCTCTAATAAACGCCCCCCCCCCCCTTGAGGGGTATCGAAAAAATAAACGCCCCGGGGCTTTTAATAGAGTAAATACGGTAACTCTAAAAACGTATTAATGCAGAAAAAAACGGAAAGAGACGATTTTTTAGGAACCCTAAACTCGAATTTAACTGATTTTCAGCATCGTGCCGCATAGCATTTTTTGTACTGCTCGGCTAGGGTTGTCAAAGTCATTCAAAAATGTTACGGTTCTTGTATTCTATGTAAAATTACCCGTAGATTTTATGACCAATTCTTGTTTTTCAGCTTACCGTAAATACTGTAATAGTACCCCACCCCCTCGTACAGTCGCGTAGTCGCAAAAGTTTTTTAGTATTTCATTTTTTTCCAAAGCGCCCGTACTTTCAAAAAATACGTTTTTGGTATCAAAAAATAGCTGAAATTCAGGGCTATTTTTTTGATACCTACGCGCGCATTGTAGCATAAACCAGTGTCGAGAAAAACTCGTTCAAAGCTCGACTACGCAACACTCCGCACCGTCATTATGGGGGTGGGGTACTATTACAGTATTTACGGTAGGTTAATGTATTGTTTAGAAAGTCCAAAAAAAGGTGCAGTAAGCGCAACACTATATCGTCGATTCTAAGCCACAAGATATAAACGATTAGATTGTGTTATGGGAAAGTTGGCACGAGTAAATCAGGTATACCAGTTGCTTCGAATTCCACATGATCGGAATTTTCTCCCACTGACCTGTGCAAAGTTCTGCTTTTAACTAGGGGTTGTCAAAATAAAATTCAGCCAAAGATTAGCTAGTTGTTTTGGATCCATTGCAATTTAGCCCAATCGTAATGAAGTCAGTCTACTGTTCAGCGAAAAGCGAAAAATTTTTGAAACGGGAAATCTGCGAAGAGGTCGGTTTGAACAAAAATCAAAAAGAACATGTTTAGGTTTTTGCATAGTCAACAAAATTGGCTCTGGTTTGAGTTGTATTCGATCCATCAGTGATCTACACGATGGACACTGTCATTCCTGTCATTGTGCTATTTGGAGCTGACTCGGTGACTTTGGATTGACGAAAATGATCGAACAAACACTAACATGTGCATTACAACAACGAACACTTCGACACCACCACAATTGATGAAATGATGGAATTATGGGAATAAAAGGTGACGAGTTTACAAGTAGAGTTAAGTTAAGAACTGTCTTAAATATTCCCAGGATTCCCATCGAAATGATGTCTACAGTCTCGGATTGACAATGTGGGAAGTGATTGAGAGAAAGTGGGGACTTTAAAGCTAACATTTGCTAAACAAAAATCAATAAAAGATTCACATCTCGTGATGGAGTTGACAATTACGCATCGAAAATCTCATCATCACCATTTATGGGTTGGGGAGAATGAAATAGCGCCTAACTTTAAAGACACTTTTAAAACTCCTAGTTGACTTTGCTAAATGGAACGCAATTAGTATCAGTAGAAAGGTTACTTGATTCTCTAGACAATGGCATTTGAAAGGAGACTCAAATAGCGCTCCAACTCAACAAAGTCCATTCTTTTCACAAAATCTCCAAACTGCCATCTAGAGAAAACGGTTGAAGGGATCTTCATGAAGATTTGGGAACTTATGTAATTGAGTGTACTCTATCTTTTCTTATGTAGACACCAAAGGAGGTCTATGTGGAAGAAACTGTTCAAACGATGAGTCGGACTTTTTGCCATTTTGACTAGCTTTGTTTGGGAGTCCAAAAACTCCAAGAACGAAAAGCTTTGTGGAATCTCTCAAAAGTCATTTTGTAGAGAAATAGTGGACCCTTTTGATCGTAGCCGTCGTAGCCGACCGGATAGGAGTCTTGTCTCCTAGTCGGGGGGTTAAGGGCTCGATCCCGGCGGCTAGAAAGTTTGGTTCTTTTCCCATTATTATGGGTTTTTTTCTTAACAACATTTGGGTAATAGGGGTAATTAGGGATAAAAATTTCCTCCGTTGAGTTGTAATTCATTATTCGTGTCGAATAAATATACTTTAAACAAACCTTTTTAGAGAAGGCTTTATGCGTGCAAAAAGCGTCTTTAAAGTTCGGCGCCATTTCATTCTTCCCAATCCAATAGGTAAAAATCTCAAAGTACGGTCTTTAAAAATATAAATTTTAAAAACAATAAAGTAATAAGAAGTAGAAATGCAACCCTAAAAGGTGAATCTTCTCAAGCCCCGATCGGCTATCGCCTACAAACTACATAGAAGACGTGAAAGCACTCTGCACATCGTCGCGCAAAATGCGTTTTCTATAGGATTTTTCTGGGAGTACCTTTTTTAGATGCGGAAAATTGTGCTGATTCCAAATCTGAAGGAATTTTCCAATTCCAACCCCATACTTTTGCGCGGGATTCACGTCGCGCGCCACGTCGCGCGTCGGCCACGGTTTCCCCTTTTGTTTTTAGTGTATTTTGCAAAATTTCTTTAAAGATGTTATAACTTTTTGTAGAGTTGAGCAAATTTTATGATTTTTGCATCAAAATGTTCGTAAGAGTCTTTAGAATAAAACTTATCCCTTCGTTTTTGGTTCTAGACCCTCGTTGTCGAGTTACGAGCCCCAAACTGCAGGGTACCACAAAATTTCAAATTTTATTTTATTTTAATTTATCAAATCTCTTTTGTAGACTGCAAAAGATTAAGTAGATGTCTTCTCAAGTGATCATTCCGTGAGAAAGTTCTTGTGGTTCTTGAAAATAAAATGCTCGAACATACAAAATATACAATATTTTCAGAAAGAGATGGTGCGGTCGATCTATCTCATTCTCGCCGCCTGTCGTACTTCTATCAAAGAAGCCATCCATAAAATGGTTACCGCGTGGTGTTCCATGGAGAGCGAGAGCTTCAAATCTCTCAACTGTGTGGTTTGCAATGAACCCTGTCAGTTGTATTTGTTAAATTTATAAGATGATAACAAAAATAAATGTAATCATTCTTTTGATTCACCCAATTTACAGACTCAAAGACGTCCAAACAGGATCATACCCCGACACAAACTCGTTGTCCTGATCCTCAAGCTATGTGCTTAAAATGCTTCTATGAACAAAAAGAAATGGAAATGGCAACACGAGTACATCAGTGTGAGGGATTCGATTGTTTTCACCATGACCCAACTCCTTCATACTATTTGAAGGGTGAGTGGCTATTCTTCATCTCACTTTCCTTCTCATTCTCTCTAAAAATCAGATTTTCCGGTGCACAAAAATTTCGGTATTCCCTCAACATTACCACCAATTGCATGTTGAGAAATAGGCTGAACTCATCTGGTGGTGAAAAATGTGGTAACAGACACACAAATAGACAGCTTTATAAAATTATAAGATAGTAGATAACCAGAGAAGTTGTTTAGATGTCCTGTCGAATGACGCTATTGTTTTGAAAAAGAAGGGATACGTGTTGGCATCTCAAGCAACAATTCCCGAATGTGTGGTTTGCCTCCAAAAATGTGAGCAAGAGCTATGGTCAAAAGCCAAAAAAATCTTAGACTCCATCGACGATCCCCAAAAAGAACCATTTGCCCTCCATTGCGGGCACTCTTTCTGCAAGGAATGCTTCGATCGAGTCGTCGCCATCCCATCGAATAAATGTCCTTACTGCCAAGACGAGGGCCTCAATACGCAAACATCGTTTAACAATCCATTGAAAGGCTTGTTCCGTAAAAATTCCACAATTCTTTCTCTAAGAATCTTTAAAAAGGAAATTTTTAGCGTTTCTACGCGAGTTACCCTCAAAACAGACGGAACTTTCTGAAAAAGAAGCAGCAGGATACAAAATTTGCAATTATTGTGGAGATTGGGGACCTTTCAACAAAATGTTCCAATGCAACGATTGTGGGAAGAAAGTAGTGAGTGATTTTAATGTATCAAACAAAGAAACGATTATTTTTTAGTTATGCGCACTTTGCCTAGTGCGAAAGAAGCACTACACTCATCAATTTGTCGAATTGTGGGTGGCTAAGGTAAGCCGAAATTTGAGCAAGATTTAAGTGTTTTAAAAATCTGAGGTCTTTTTAGCTTTAAAATTTCATTCTTCTTTCATCCAAAACCTCTCCGAAACGATCACTTCACAAATTTAGGTTCGATGTGTACCTACATTACATTCAGAATTGATCAAAGATATTGAAGACTTTCACGAGGTAAACTGTTCTCGATTATGCCGAAACAACAAATTTAACATATTTGAACCAAATTTCTCGATTTTAGAGCATCCTCGATGAGGTCCAGCACATTGAAACGCTTGAATTCGGTCAAGCCAAGGAGGAGAAAATCAATGCTTTGTTGTGGGTTTGTTGATCGAAATCGAAGCTTTTCAAAAATTTCTCTTCAATTTCAACAATTTCTATTCAATTCTCAGGAAAACCTTTGCTCAATTCAAGGAAATCAAGAAAAAATGTTTGGCCGATTTGCGATCATGTGAAAAGGGAGTAGGGGTCAGTTTTTGAGAGAGCAAAGAAAGACAAAGTGTGGAATTGGTTTAAATTTGGAACAATCAAACAAAGAAATTTCAGAATCTCAACAATGGAATCAAGGGAAGCAGGAAGCGGAAGAGAAACGACGACCAGTGAGACGAGAAATGCTTCCAAGGAGTGAACATCGAGAGGGTTTACTTCTTCGAAAGAACACTTTGCATTTTTATGTTGTCCATTTTGTTTTCCTTTTCTGCCAAAGCTTTCCAGGTGCCTTGTGAATCTCATTCCAATGGCTCACTTTCACTGCTTTTGCTGTTAGTCTGTTGAATTAACTCTGTTGAAAATGCTCAATAACTATCATAATACTGGTTCCTTGTGTTTTATTTAGCCGGTGAATAAATTACGGTGAATAAATTTTTGTTTATTTTTGTTGTTACATAGAAGTTGCGTTGTTCGCCTTTGTTTTAACTTGTTTTTTGAGCAGGCTTGGAATGCACTGACGAGACAAGGAATGTGACTTCAAATCCCCGCAAAATCCTACAACCTGCCTGGATATGACTACAAAGATCAACTCAACTCCTTGTCTTTCCTAGTAAGTGCAGTTTGCATAATCTGAACAACAATGTTAATATAAATTGAATTGGCACCATTAGTCCACTTTTATGAATCAACAAAAACGGCAAGCTCTAATGGCATAGCCCTCAAAATTGCCAGTCATTTGTGTAGAATCTTGTTTCACTTTTTATGCTTAGTACTCAATAAAACTTAAATGTTTCTGTTAACATCAAATTAATTGGCAACTGCATTGATGGGGTGTAGACAACTCTCATTTCAGCCAATACATTCAGTCACCCAAGGGCTTGCTGGGTAAAAGAGTTTTCAAGGTCCTTTTCAGAGTTTTAGGCAAATAACTCAAAACACTTCAATGAGACAGTCCCTTGTTAAATGCATCTTTTATTTTGTCTAGGCAAAGTGAGTCTAGAAATATTTAAATAGTCTTTATCATTGGTATCAATGGAGAACCTTGTTGACACACACCAAATAGGCACTAAATCACAAAACAATCAAGCATTTGATTAGGGCAAGTGTTTGAGAGACTCGATTTGTTTAGAAAATCTAAACAGAAATATCTTTTAAGATTCTATATTATAAATGTTGCCGTATTAAATGACTGTTTCAATTACAGGCTAAAGTGATACAACAAAGCATTAACCTAACAAAAAGTTGGATTCATATCATTAATCGATCGAAATGTTAAAAAAACAACAATCGTTTTGAATATAAACTGATAACTCTAAATTCTATCCATATAAAAATTGAATAGTCACTTTAATGGCAAGACTTTGTGAACATGCCCTTTCGAATCCAGTCAACTCAATGTCTCCTGTAAGCTGAGAATGTCAAACTAGTAACTTGATAAAGCTTTTAAACAATTAGACATGAGCAAGATAAATAAGTCAACCCATCGACTTTTCAGAAGATCTTAAAAGCTGTGTGCGATGCTGGAAAGTGCCAAGATGGCAAGATGAACGAATTGAAACGACTTCAATATACAAGGTGCGGCAGAGTTACGTAGGCACTTGAATGCATCTCAAGCAAACACTATACAAATCTCATCTAAAAGCACTAAGTGTTATATATCATTTAAAAGCTTGAAGTCTTGTCTAAAATGATGTATCATTGAGATTTTGATGAGATGTTGTAGGATTTTGCGGGGATTTGAAGTCACATTCCTTGTCTCGTCAGTGCATTTCAAGCCTGCACAAAAGACAAGTTAAAACAAAGGCGAACATACGCGATTTCTATGTAACAACAAAATAAACAAAAATTTATTCACCGTCTAAATAGAACACAAGGAACATCTTATTATGATACCAGTATTAAGCATTTGCAAAAGAGTTAATTCAACAGACTAACAGCAAAAGAAGAAGAATCAAAAACGAAAGTGAGTCATTGGGATGTGATTCACAAGTAACATGGAAAGCTTTGGCAGAAAAGGCAACAAAGTGAACAACATAAAAAATAATAACATAAAAATACAAAGTGTTCTTTCGAAGAAGTAAACCCTCTCGATGTTCACTCATTGAAAGCATTTCCCGTCTCACTCGCCGTCGTTTCTCTTCCGCTTCCTGCTTCCCTTGATTCCATTGCCTGACGTTGATGAGATGATAATTGGAAACGGGCAACTAAAAATGAAAAGAGTTGATTGATTGTCGTGATGGAAGTTGCAATTTAGATTATCTAACCTCAAAATTTCAATAATTCTTAATACAAATCTTGTTTAAAGCAACCTAAACGATTTATTTACCTTTCTGTATTCTATACTTTTGTATTAATAATCATAAAGGGTTGCAAGAAAGCATATGATAATAATGAAAGTCAATTATACAATGATAACTAGCTGTTACAATTAAAACAACTAACCTTAAACATAGTAGACATAACCTTCACGTATAAGGGCGGTCACAAATGGATCATGAAGTTTAGGTTTTGAAAATTCAATGTACAAATCCACTTCACATGCATCCAGATATCGCCGGGCCCGTCGAGGCTTTCCCTTAAAATTAGAGAAATTAAAACTAATTTCAGTTAGATTAAGGATCTATTGAAATATGATCATAATAACCTGAAGGATTACGCCTGGAATCAGGAGCGTCTGGTACTTGCGTGGAACGACCTTTTCTCCTTTTGTGAAACGACGCGGAGCATTAGCAACTGGGTGAGCGAATCGTAAAGTCTTGCCCGCAACAGTGATCTCAATAAATCGTCGAGTCACCCTCATGTGAGTGTAATCCTCAAGAATGCTGTACCTTGGATTCATCGTGAGGCTGAAAATGAGTTTTCTTCTAAATAGTCAGAATAAGAAAAGCAACTAAAAGAATTCCAATAAAATGAAGTAAAATACATGCGATAAAGTTGATATAGAGAAATTCATGGAAGCCTTTCTTCAATGTAACATAAATATAACCAATATTTGTTCATCCGAATTCTCCTGGCCATAAATTCCCTCAACATCGGAATCGTTTTCGTCCTTGGAATCCTCATCAACTTTTGAGTCGACAGGAGGTAGAAATAACTAAAATTAATCAATTGACGAGTTATTATAGCTGATTCTTGTAAACTAATAGTTAAGTCAAAGATTCTGGAAATCTAGAGAATTGAATAATTGACACAATAATATGAATCAACCTTCGTAAGGATATAATCGCGAACAAAAATCACCTGTTGGTAGTGTGCAAGATTTCCGATTTTGGTTATAAAATCGCTGAACTTCGTGACATCGGTAAATTCGACGCATAGAGCCACAGAAGGAAGTCCAAACCAAGAGTCATCATCTTTATCCTAAAGGTAAATAGATCAATAACATCTACCCAATCTCTCCTTATCACAAAGTATTAGGTTTCATAGCTTTGATTTTATAAAAATTTCATCGGGACTGAAATGAAAATGACCAACCTGTAACAACATTTCAGCCAATGTAATCTGGATCTTTCCAATTGTCTTCATCGAAAATTTGCGATGGTCCCGATTATCCGGGTAACCAAAACGTAAAAGCTTGGTTCTGTAACCTAGCTCCAGATAACTTGGCGTCACTTCAAGTGAATCGAAGTCTTCGAAGAAGCAGAGTTGAGTTGCCATGTTGCGCTAAGTAAAATGAATATTAGAATGAGAAATCAAGATACTGAAAAAGAATCCACGAAAAGTCTAAACAAAAACATAATAAAGGTAGATGATTAAAGTGCACTGAAAATGAAAGGAAAGTTGACGCAAATGAAAAATGCTTAATAAAAAGGAAGCTTTGTCCCCACCACCATCTATTTTTTTTCTAGTTTGTACTTGCTATTTTGCAGGTATAAAACCTCTTAATAGGCTATCGATAATTCCAAGGGAAAACTGCAGTTCTTCTTTTTTGAGTAAAACGTTTTGGCTTTCTCGCTCAGTATCATAGTTGTTTGAAAAGAAAAAATAATTTTACATTTAGTGTTCTGATCAATAACTGATTTACATAAGATCTGTATGCGTTTTTGACGATATTACTCTATTTACAGTTTACTCGGTTGGAAATCGAATTAACTTCGCAATTAGATTAAAGGCGCATTTTAAAACAAGAAACTAATCGAAATTCTATTGTTTTTTTTCACTTTTTTCTGTCATGTTGAGTTTGTTTTTAGCCAAAATCTGACACCTTGCTCATGTCTCTTATCAAAACGGTCTTTGGACACTTAGGTAACTTAGTTTTACCGGATTTTTTTAAAACAAAAGCATCGAAATTCCTTTTCCAACAGTGAAGGGGATACATATCGAGCCGTATCATAAATCAAGGCTTACCGGTCTTTTATTTTTTTCAATCACCCCCTAGACCCCGTCTTCTATTCAAGACGGTCTTCTATCTTTTTGCAGTTTGGGCGATTTATGACTTATGATCATCTTCTATTCGAGTAAATACGGTAAGCCTTGATTTATGATACGGCTCGATATGTATCCCCTTCACTGTTGGAAAAGGAATTTCGATGCTTTTGTTTTATGCTTTGATGTCCTGATGGCCTTAGTGTCTTTGAAGCTTGAGACTTTTCTAGACGCAGAGATCTTTAGACCTCGATGTCAAATTTTAAATATGCACTTTTCTTGAAATGATCTCAACGTGAGTTTGAAACCAACGAAAGTTTGAAGCAATATACTTGCATTTTCCCATCATTGATAAGAGCGCCTTAAAAACCTGTCGTCATTTGATAAGCGGCTCAAAATGTATTGATTCGCAGCCGTGTCTTTTTATTTGTGAGGGTCTTAGGTGAGTTTTCAGGATTCTGTAACTGCTCTCAAATCAAAATTTTCTCCCCCATTCCAATTAGCCCAAAAGAACAAATGCTTCAAACAAAAGGACTTCTACTAGAGAATATGGACTCTGTTTTTGTCTATCAAGATTTAAATCGATAATAGTAGATTTGTGATTCAGATGGAGTGCTCCCTTTAGGCTTGCAAAATCTTGAGTTACGTGGAAGTCCTTTTAGTTAAACCACTCTAAGAAATCAGTCTTGGGTCTTGGGCTTCTAAAGTTATATGTATGTTGTTACTGTCAAAACAAAGTCGTTCAGCAAACCAACACAAAGAAGGGAAACTATGATGCAAAACAAAGGAATGGTCTGAAATCGGAA